CATTATTTCGAGAAAGTTTCTCATTATTATGACTTACAGAATTATATTTTTTTTATTCAGTGGCGGAAACGGGCTTCCATACATTTTAGAGAATATCACTCACACTAGATTATTATTATTGACCAATGGCAGCTTCTCATTTTCCACATATTCATTGCTCTCAAGGATATGGGATAATTTCCAATAAATCTGAAATATAAACCAATAATTAATACTATGATGTAAAGGCACCGACAGAAATGTGTAATTTTGCAAACCATGGGAGATTAACTGAAAGATCTACAGGTCTAATTTTACAAAAATCTCTTTTATTAAATTATAAAACAGACATCAAACCCCACGAGAGGAGAATTGATTGGTGTGTTCAGCCCTATGCTTTATGTGTGTCAGCACAAGAGGGTGTTAGTGTCACAGTGAAGGCCTGAACCTCCTCATCATCCTCTTCCTCTGAGCTGCCCATTACTGCAGCACTAAGAGCCTGCAGTGCCCCCAGCAGACCTGAGAGAGAAGCAGGATTGAGGAAAGTCAAGTGCGTAAGAACATCAAGTAGACATAAAAAAAACTAATCAATGTATGAATGAACAAATTATCAAAGATATTACAAAATTATAAATATGAATGCATATCATGGGCAAAAAAAGCATCAAACTAACTGTTGATTTCATAAGTGAGTGTCAGTATATGCTTACTTTCAGGTGTTGAAGGATTGCTGCTCTCAGACTGAGGATGATGCTTTTGTTTAAGGGCCTCAGTTGTCCGAATTGCTGATCTTCTCAGTATTTTATATTCATTCATCAAACCCTGTTCCTGAACCACTGCCTGCATACACACACAACAATAGAAAGTAAAGGACAGAAACAGATCTAAGAAAACTCTCAGATCTCTGAGCCAAGCACATTTTAAATAGAACTTGCTAAATAATAATTTGCATCTTTGTTATCTACGTAAAGTAGCAGAAACCATCCATTCACATATTTTAAACGGCTTTAAACTGAAATTCAAATACTCACACCTCATCTCACTCAGATCTGAATTTTTCCTCCAGCAAAATTAGTTCTGAAATTAGCTGGAAATATTCAGATTATAAAATTACAGCTTCAAGTTTGATTATAAAACTTGCAAAATTACAAAACTTTAAGTTGTAATTTTATAACAACCTAAATCCAGCCTAATTTACAGTATAGTTAATCAAAAAAGTGCCAGTAACAATATATATATATATACATATTTTTTTTTTTTTTTTTACAAAAGATGCTGTTATTTTAAACTTTCTATTCATAAAAGAATCCTGGAAAAATGTAACAGTTTTGACAAAAATATTAAACAGCACAACATTTTTCAACATTGACAGTAATGAGATGTTTCTTGAGCACCAAATCATCATATTATAATTTCTGAAGGATCACATGAGTAAAAACTGAAGTAATTGGCTGCTGAAAATTCAGCTTTGGCATCAGGAATAAATTGCATCTTAAAATACATTCAAATAGAAAACTTAAAATTAAAAATAGAAAAATTTAAATTATTATATTTCACAATACAACTGTTTATCCTGTATTTTTTGATCAAATAAACACAGCTTGATTCACATAAAAATTATTAAAAATACAAATCAATAAAATGCCACTTGATTCAAAATTCAGTTATGTTAAATGCTGCATGTCTAAAATTAAAATTCTAAATTTGTAAAAATGTTTCATATTATAAGTTAAAGTTTTTTTTTTCCTTGGCAAGATAGGTTGTGTCCTATGTCACTAAGGCCGCCAAATAAGCCAGGACTGCTGCTGATGCCCCTCAGTAAGAATAGCTGAGCGTGTATGTGTGTGCACATGACTCACCAGGAGAAGGTTGCAGTCTTTGTCCTTTTCTTTCAGCTGTTTCTGCAGATGTGTGATCCGTTTGTGTGTGTGTTCGGTTCTCTCTTTCTCTACGGCTTTCATCTGGTCTTTCTCTCTCTCCACCTGCCTCTGAACCTGTCGCAAAACTACCACTGCACAGACACATAGAAAAGAGTATACTACAAATTTGTCACATTAACACTTTTTCTGTATGTTCAATCTCGCAAAAAAAAACAATAACACTATTTTACAAACAGCTATTTTTAATCCAACGCTGTGTCTTCTCTTAAAAGAGGGATCAATTAATGTTTCGAAAAAAAAGATAAAGAAAAGGAAGGCTGATATTATGTGTGGCTAATATGTCACACTGGAAATGGAAGGTAATATTAATAATAATAATAATCATTAATATTACTTTTATTATAAAGAAAATAGGACTGTCACGGTGAAGAAACACATTACCTGGGTAATGATGAAGCTAATGTTTCACTTCATAGAGAACAATGGCATTAATTCAATGCTTTGAACAATGCTGACACCAGTCGTGGATAATCCACTTAAACGCTGAAAGGATGCTATGACAAAGGCATCGCTTTCATCTTGACAACTGATGGCAAACTTTTTTTTTTTCCCATGAATATATATAGACTTAACCTGAAGGACAGGTGCAGGTAACTGCGCATGCTCAGACGATCTCTCTCTCGGTTTAGTGCAAATCTACGGAACCCATGTACAAATCACAGTTTGATACTACTCTCTTCACTCTTGTTATGATTATTAACTTATTGAACATTCAATACGCATGCATTAAGTGTAAAACAAGAAGGGCATAGCCTCATGAAAAGAAAAAAAAACAAAAACAAAATGTGAACATCGCGTTTGTCACGGTTGCTTGTCATACTCTGTGGTTAGCTTGTCAGTATGGCAATAGTACAATATTGCGGTTATTGCGACCGTTATTGTGACCGCCCTAGAAGGGACATATTATTTCTGGTTTATTTGTGACACTAGAAAATAGAAGGTGATGGTAATAATAATAATAATTATTATATTAATAACAATATTTAATAGAATAATACTGCATAATGCATTGTGGGATAAAACATCTAAAACATTACAAAACTTGTTTTAGGTCATTTTAAATATAAACTATTAAGCTGAACCTCAACTATCTTTTGTTTCTGAAGCTTCTAATAATTAGTGGTGAAAAAAGCACCTTCAAGAAAATTTACATTTAATACCAATGTCTTTCATTTATTCCTGTGATTCTGTACCTCTCTGACAATGCTGGCTCTGGAGATCTTGTAGCTTTCTTGGTTCTCCAAAGAGCTTCTTTCCTCAACAGCAGCCCTGCAGACAAACATCCCATGTATATTAAAAGTAAAAACCCACTTGCATACACTTGCGCACAGATGACACTCTCACCATGTACGGTGTCCAGACGTTTGGCAGCAAAAGCGAGTCTCTGGTTCAGCTGACTTACACTGGACTGAGCTGCTTCCATCTGACCTGCCTTCATTTCTACGGCTGACATCACCCTGATGATAGAGACACAGAGGAGAAAGATAACACACAGAGAGAGACAGATGTTTATGGATGAGCTGGCTTCAGGGCTTTGGTCAGATGAACAGTCAGCTTTAATCTAATCATGACATGTCATATTGGTGTTTACTAAACCTGTTTAATCCAAAGAGACTTACAAAACACTAACAGATTCAAGGCCTGGTGATTGTGGGTGCTACCTGTGCGCCGTTTCACTGATATCATTCAGTGATCCCTCTGTGCTCTTATTGCACTCTTTCAGCTGAGCATTCTCCTGTAGAGCACTGTCCAACTGCTGCTGTACTCCCTGAACACACACACACACACACACAAAGCAAGCACATGGTCTGTCAGAAAAACACACTTGCCTGCAGGCGCTACAGAAGAAGAGTTTCAGTGCCGTCACCATGTAGCACAGCTGATCAGCTGGACAGCTGCTCTGAATGTGGCGAGTAATCACGGATAAACAATGTGATGTTAAAACAGCAGATCTTCTTTGAGTCATCAATTTACAAGCTTAAACCTCGCTAAGCTCAATCCAACCTGTTCAGACTGTTAAAAGGCAAAGATAACAAGAAAAGAACGAGTGCGAACAGGACAGGCTCATAAGGCTTGGAGAGTAAGTGCAAAAGTTGATCATGCGAATATCAATGAGCTACACTTTTAGTGAGTAACCACTTAAATTTCAGACAGTTTTTCACACACATCTGTCATATCACCTGGAAGACCTGTTATGTAATAAACCCTTCATCACAGCATGCCTGGTTCGGACATGTAAAGCGCTGTGAAAATGTATATCGAGTCAAGAAGCTCAATATGAATGACAGAAGAACATCGGGCATCTGTGCAGACTTTATCCATTACCAACGAGAGGAATTTCATTCTAATGGAAGGACCACAAGACCTACACCTAACTGACCCCAAACCAGACTTGACCTTAACCTGTGTGCATGTGTGCATGTCGCGTACCCGTGCGTGTACACGCTGTAACTCCAATTGAGCTGTTTTATCCTCTAGTTGGTGCTGAAAGACACTGTTCTGCGACTGCAAACACTCTACTTGCTGCTGTAGAGAGGAAACCTACACACAGATACAGATGTATTCATACAAAAAAGTACTAAAATCAGATTAAAAAAAAACACTCAACATTAAGTAAACACTCACAACTCAAAAACATCTACTTTTACTATCGTGATGGTAGAACATAAATAGATGAATAGTCTAACATGGAAAACAGACAATTTTTTGTTGATTTGATTTCATAACAGTCAAAATTGTACAGACTGAACATTTATTTTAATTAAGTGATTCAAGTAACTGACATACACTACCATTCAAAAGTTTAGGGATTTTTTATGCTTTTGAAAGTTTTCTGCTATCCTCACCAAGTCTACATTTGTTTTATTAAAAATACAACAAAAACATCATATTATGAAATATAATTTTAAAATGATTGTTTTCTAATTTTAATATATTTTAAAATCAAATTTATTCCTATGATGGCAAAGCTGAATTTTCATCAGCCATTAGTCTAGTTCTCAGTATCACATGATCCTTCAGAAATCATTCTAATGTTGATTTTGTGCTCAAGAAACATTTATTTCCAATGTTAAAAAACAATCGTGCTGCTTAATATTTTTGTGAAAACTGTGATACTTTTTTTCCAGGATTTCAAAAGAACATCGTGTGTATATATATATATATATATATATATATATATATATATATATGTAATAATGAATACCTTTAGATCAAATTAATGCATTTTTGATTTTGAACTTCTATGAACAGTAGTGTTTGCGCAGTAGTGTATATGGATAATATAGTTAGCAAAAAATGCTCTTATATAGGTAAAAATTACTTTTTGAAAATACATTTCAGGGGTCAAATAAAAATACAAAATACTGACACCAGTGGTTAGGAATGTTTATCTATTATAGTACACTATGCAGGTGTGTGAGAATACGTTTACATTACCATGTTGTGTAGTTGCGTTTTCTCCATGTGAAGTTCTAAATCTCTAGTCTGCAGTTTAACAAGCAGCATGAAGACCTTTTGTCTCCAAACACTCAACATATGCCCAGCTTTACTGCCAGAATACAATGGGTCAGTCTGCACCTACACACATAATAAAGTACCACTAAATCTACTAATGAATTCGTATCAGTCAAACTGCATTGGTCATTCATTTCAAACGCTACATATATATGTCTACATGTGTGTGTAATCTTACCTGTTCACCTAGCTCTTTCTCTTGAATGGCCAAAATGTCATTGGCTGCGTTCACTCGAACATTCAGCAGCTGGACTGATAGTGACAGGGCTTCCTTTTCTTTCTCTAAATGCTATACAGACATATTTGTAAAATAATTACATTCATGCAGTCACGGGAAAAAAAACTCATTCAAAGGACCATAACTGATGCACTGATGGCAATTCAGTGGACTGTGTGTTTACACACCTGTATCTGTCGTCTAAGCTCTTCCTCTTCTCTTTTCTCTGTGATGTTGCTGCCAATGTATGTGCGCAGTTTCTGCACACACTCAGACTGTTCCAGCAATGAGCTGTTCAGGACACTGCACAAGTACAAATCATGTGACATCACATAAACAGACATGTAAATGATTTGTCATTTAGAGAGCAGCATAAGCAACATTTGTTTTGTTTTTTGATACTCACCTCAGCTGATTTTTCAGCTCATCTCTCTCCGATATCACTTCTTGTATTTGGGTCCTCAGTAAGGCTACTTCCTGTGCAGCACCGGTCATCACATTCTGATATTCAAAGTGGTAAAATATATCATATAGATCATTACACTTAGTTTGAGAATGAAGTCATACTGTATCTACCATGGCAAACAAAAACTCTTGTGTACAATAGTATCTGGACACTGTATTGTGAAGTGAAAGAAATTATCAAAAAAGGGGGGGAAAAAAAGTGCACTATGGAAGATTTTTTGGTATTTGGGTCCTCAGTAAGGTTACTTCCTGTGCAGCACCGGTCAAGCATATAAAAAAAAAAATCAGTGTTCAAAACTGTCTCCTTGTCTTACCATATCATATAATATTCGTATAATAATGATGTCGGGGTGGATTTCATGGGACATGCCAGGTTTATGCCATTTGTCTGCACATTAGTAATGAGCTTTTTAGTATCACAATAGATCATTTGAAAAGGCAACCATCTGAGGTACTGTATCATCCATTGTTGAAACAAAGAAACTTCGTTCAGAGTATTGGAAACAAAATATTGCCACTCTATTGTTAATTATGCCTTACCTGTGTCTCTAGTTTTTGTTGCAGTCTGGTCATCTCCTGCTTTGAGTCCTGTAACGCTTTCTCCAAATGTTGACGTTGTAATTCATACTCCCTTTTTAGAATTGAAGGCTAGACACACAAATTTAGGCTGCATTTAAAAAAATAGCATTTCTGGCCATATAATACACATTCTACACCTGTTCTGAATGATCGGGGAATAAAGTGAAAGTGCATTTACCTGGTCTTGGCTCATACCGAGTTCAGCCTTGCAACTCTTCAGCTCACTGTGTAATTCATCACTCTCTATACACTGTCTGCAAACACACACACACTTCAGCTCACATACACAGTGAAAGTAACAAGTCAGTCAGTGTGAGTGTTTGTACCTGTTTATTTGGTTTTGCTGATCCTTGATCTGCTTTCTCAAAAGCTCTACTCTTCCTTCCAGACGCTCCATCTCGCCTCTCATAATTTTCTTGTCTTCTCTTAACCTTTCCATCTCTTGCAGCAGGGGCTTTGAGCTGCTCCTCTCATCTTCTGCCAACCTGACAGAGAGTGGGATACATTTATAGACAGACCACTAAAATCATTGGTCTTTTCAGGGGCAGTACTGTTGTGTTTGTATACCTGTTGTCAGAGTGATGATGTAATATTTTCTCGCTCTGGTTTTTGTGATGGACGGGCCGCCACGCTTCCACTGCAGCAGGCTCTGTCCAGCCAAACCCCTCCTCAGTGAATTTAGAAGGGGGCGGAGCTCTGAAGAGTGAAGACTGTGGCAGAGTTTGGGTGGGAGCGGTCTGTGAAGCTGTGGGTCGGGCCAGAGGACCCCCAGTAAACTGAGCAGGTGTCATCAGAGGAGGAGTGGGGTTACAGACAGATGCTGGAAGACAAACAGACAGACTGACGTTAATGTAATGAACACAAAAAGGCCAAAATAAAGGCAGGACCTTCAAATCTCTATTCTGAGTGTGTGTCCCCTGAGCATCTGGATTTTTTTCTTCACACTCACATTCACAACATTACAGATGCCTCACATACGACACAATTTAACAGTACTGCTCGTTAGCTTCTATTAAGTTATTATTTTTAATAACCCTTTAGATTTCCTCCAGTTCACTTTTAGAAGTACAAATAGTCCATGAAGTCTGAGTTCGAGTCACATAAACTGCCATTAAGACAATATACAAGAACGTAAAAGCTGTTTAAATGGTGTTAGATGAAATCTACTTTATCACACTGCAGAGCTATCACTGTTTGACATGTCAACTACCCAGAATACACAAATCAAATATACTGGATATTTTGATACAATAAATAAACAGTAATACAATGAATATTAATCGTTTGATATTAATATAAGATCACTAGCTCGTTTGTGTTTGCCTATTTTATTTATGTCAGTCTGCATTCGGTTTGATTCTGTTTGTTTACCGCCATCATCTTGAGCTTTCATGAAGTCCGCCGGTGCGTTCAGCTTTTCTGCTTTCCACATATCCATAATAACCTCTAAAAGTCCAGTCTTTCAAAAGCGGTCTTGTATAAATGTGTAAAATGTTTAAATTGTAATGTTTTGATGAATATTTCCCGTCATAGTTTTAGAAAGTGTGCGTCCTCCCCGACGTTGATTTCAAAGCTGCGCGTGCAGTTGTCATGGCAGAGATTTCCGGTCTCGCTGCGAGACACCACAGCGCCCCTTGCAGTCTCTATTGAACAACTAATTCAACACGAGTGTCAAACTCAATGGCAGGGTGCAAATTTCGGCACTACACCGGAGCCCTGCAGAGCTAACAGTGAAAGTAACAAGTCAGTCAGTGTGAGTGTTTGTACCTGTTTATTTGGTTTTGCTGATCCTTGATCTGCTTTCTCAAAAGCTCTACTCTTCCTTCCAGACGCTCCATCTCGCCTCTCATAATTTTCTTGTCTTCTCTTAACCTTTCCATCTCTTGCAGCAGGGGCTTTGAGCTGCTCCTCTCATCTTCTGCCAACCTGACAGAGAGTGGGATACATTTATAGACAGACCACTAAAATCATTGGTCTTTTCAGGGGCAGTACTGTTGTGTTTGTATACCTGTTGTCAGAGTGATGATGTAATATTTTCTCGCTCTGGTTTTTGTGATGGACGGGCCGCCACGCTTCCACTGCAGCAGGCTCTGTCCAGCCAAACCCCTCCTCAGTGAATTTAGAAGGGGGCGGAGCTCTGAAGAGTGAAGACTGTGGCAGAGTTTGGGTGGGAGCGGTCTGTGAAGCTGTGGGTCGGGCCAGAGGACCCCCAGTAAACTGAGCAGGTGTCATCAGAGGAGGAGTGGGGTTACAGACAGATGCTGGAAGACAAACAGACAGACTGACGTTAATGTAATGAACACAAAAAGGCCAAAATAAAGGCAGGACCTTCAAATCTCTATTCTGAGTGTGTGTCCCCTGAGCATCTGGATTTTTTTCTTCACACTCACATTCACAACATTACAGATGCCTCACATACGACACAATTTAACAGTACTGCTCGTTAGCTTCTATTAAGTTATTATTTTTAATAACCCTTTAGATTTCCTCCAGTTCACTTTTAGAAGTACAAATAGTCCATGAAGTCTGAGTTCGAGTCACATAAACTGCCATTAAGACAATATACAAGAACGTAAAAGCTGTTTAAATGGTGTTAGATGAAATCTACTTTATCACACTGCAGAGCTATCACTGTTTGACATGTCAACTACCCAGAATACACAAATCAAATATACTGGATATTTTGATACAATAAATAAACAGTAATACAATGAATATTAATCGTTTGATATTAATATAAGATCACTAGCTCGTTTGTGTTTGCCTATTTTATTTATGTCAGTCTGCATTCGGTTTGATTCTGTTTGTTTACCGCCATCATCTTGAGCTTTCATGAAGTCCGCCGGTGCGTTCAGCTTTTCTGCTTTCCACATATCCATAATAACCTCTAAAAGTCCAGTCTTTCAAAAGCGGTCTTGTATAAATGTGTAAAATGTTTAAATTGTAATGTTTTGATGAATATTTCCCGTCATAGTTTTAGAAAGTGTGCGTCCTCCCCGACGTTGATTTCAAAGCTGCGCGTGCAGTTGTCATGGCAGAGATTTCCGGTCTCGCTGCGAGACACCACAGCGCCCCTTGCAGTCTCTATTGAACAACTAATTCAACACGAGTGTCAAACTCAATGGCAGGGTGCAAATTTCGGCACTACACCGGAGCCCTGCAGAGCTAAGATTCAACCCTAATTAAACACACCTGATCCAACTAATCAAGTCCTGCAGGCTTATTTGAAAAGTACACGGTAACGTTATAGCTGTGTCCCAAAGTCAAGTGCGCACACTTCGATGGCCAGGCCTCCGAAGTGCACGAAGGACCCTCCAAAGTAGTGTTGGGTCGTTCTTGAACGATTCGTTCATTTTGAACGAATCTTTAATGTGACTCGGGAAGAACGAGTCGTCTCGGGGAGTGATTCGTTCAGTCGCGCATGCGCAACATCCTATAGGTTCTGTACTGGAATAAGTAGTTCAGCTGTTTCGAGTCTTCGGGTTTTTCCGAGTCGTTCGTTCATCACGTGACAGCCCCATAAGCTTTAACCAATGCAGTCTGAGCCGGATACTCTGAGCTAATCATAGACTGAAGACCCAGGTAAACAATGAATTCATCTTTTCTGTTTCTTATAGCAGTTTTGTATTGTTTGTAGTGTGATCAACGTTTGCGTAAGTAGTAGACGTGTTAGGGAAGTAACACGTAACATTTTAAATGTATTTTGCTCAAATGAACGAAATGACTCGAAAAAAGATTCGTTCATTTTGCTGAACGAGACTCAAAAGTTCGAGTCGGTAAAATGATCCGAACTTCCCATCACTACTCCAAAGTGCGTGAGATGCTCCGCCTTTGCAGGATTTCCTAATTCCGCCACCAGGTGTTCCCGATTACCATTTTGTCGCATAGCAACGGTGTGAGAGGAGAGCTGGCGAGAGGACAATCCTGCCAGGATAGGTGGAGCCAGAATTGCTCATTTTTGTTTTACATCATAATGAAGGAGACGGTGATGTACCACAGGCTTAGCCAAGACCGAGGCCAGGTAAATTACACTGGTTTGCTGCGTCCTTTGTCGATTACAACATTAAATGCAGGTATTGGCTTGGAGCTTACTTGAATAATGTAATGATACATATGAAAAACTACAAAATACACACACACACATAGCAGTTCAAATTCTGACTGATATCTTACAAAGATGCGATTTTATATAGTTTATTGTCTTGACCATGGTGATCATATGTAGACAGGTTTGCAACCCGGATTTTTTTAGGCAGTTAAGCATAAAAATAAAACGGAATAAAAAAAAAATAGAGCATTGTACAGCTCAATGTTCAGTGGCAGCTGTCACAGCTGAACAGTGCTCTGTATGATCGGTCCGAGTCCTTCAGATGCATCCTTTGATATAGTTAGCAACAATTTGTTAATATTCTGACAAAATGTTGTTACTTTCATTTTCAAAATAATGGACTGTAAGGAAGTACATTTGTTAAGTATACTCGTACAAATATGTACTACGTTTTCTTTTTTTTCTCACAGGACAGCAGCACTACAAAAATATGGTCTTTTACAACATGATGCATTGTTGTAGATTAAACTACCCAACAGCATAATTGAAAATGAAATTTTTTGAACATATTCAGAAGTAAAATGCAACATACACAGTAGTGCAGCAGTGATATTAATGCAAAACCATCCTGACAAATTCTTTTTTCAGAATACTGTCTACCTTTACTTATAATCTCAATACCTTAAGTATATTAGAGTATGCAAGACAATACTTTTACTTAAAGGATAGTTTAGCAAAAAATGTAAATTCTGTAAACATTTACTCAGCCTCAAGTTGTTCCAGGTTTAAAACAAAAATAACGACTTTATTCAACAATTCGTCTCCTCTGTGTCTCTCCGCATCACTGTAGCACCATTTTAATGAATAACCACTGAACGCAAGCAGCGTACGCTCTTCTGTGTCAGCCGCGACACACGGATACGTTTTCTACATGTATTTACGCTTTGATTTGAACAAAAACAGCGCATCCGTGTGTCGCGGCTGACACAGAATAGCGTACACCGTTTGCGTTCAGTGGATATTCTCCAAAATGGAGGCTACGGTGATGCGGAAAGACACAGAAGAGACGAATTGTTGAATAAAGTCGTTATTTTTGTTTTCTTCGCGTACAAAAAGTATTCTAGTTGCTTTATAAAATTCAGATTGAACCACTGATGGCAGATGGACTATTCTGACGATGCTTTTCATACTTTTCTGGACCTTGACAGTGTAATTTACTAGGCAGTCAATGGGACAGTCACAAGCCTCCCGGTTTTCATCCAAAATATCTTAAATTGTGTTCCGAAGACGAATAAAGCTTTTACGAGTTTGGAATGACATGAGGGTAAGTGATTAATGGCAAAATTTTCATTTTGGGGTGGAGTATACCTTTAATGCAAAACCATCCTGACGAATTCTTTTTTCAGAACAATACCGTATACCTTTACTTTTACTCCCAATACCTTAAGTATATTAGAGTATGCAAGATAATACTTTTACTTAAAGGATAGTTCAGCCAAAAATGAAAATTTTGTAATCATTTACTCACCCTTAAGTTGTTCCAGGTTTGGAATTTTCAATTTTGGGTGAACTATCCCTTTAGCTAAGGCTTTAAATATGACTTGTAGTTTTTCCCCAATATGGTATTGGTAGTTACTAAAAGTAGTTTACTAAAGTATCTCAATATTTCTTCTACTAATTATGTTGTCATAGCTCTAAACAATTTCTCTTTCCCTTCTTTCCCTAAATCAGACCAGACCCCTGTACTGCAGGAAAAAGCTGAATGTGCCAGCGCTGGACAGGTTTTTTAATGACTGTGAGTCGTGACACACGGCCCTGACAGTGCTGCTGGATCTTCTGAGAAGTGAACGGCAACAGTGATGGGGTGCCACAATCCAGACCCTGGTGTTTCTTTTCTGTCTGCCAGTGGTACATCATACAGAGTGGTCTCCAGAGTGTTTGACATGCCTCGTTCCACTGTCACCGCATTGTCCTCCGAGTCGCTGAGGAGGTGCTGGCCATTCGCCAAGAGATTCACCTCCTGAAGACCCCAGAACACATGGAGGCAAGGCTGGGCTCAAAACTGTTGTTTTTCTGATGTTAAACCTAAGCTATGTTGTAAACACTTGTAAAAAGTACTTTCAGTAATGTATAGACCAATTTGTTTTAATGTGTAAAAAAAAATATTTACAGGACAAAAAAATAAACATAGAAGAAGGTTTTATGAAAAAATTATAAGCTGCTCCTGGTAGAGTAGACTACAATGCCGGCTGTTCTGACTCAAAGTTTTTTATATTTAAAGAGTTTATATTTTTTATATTTAAAGCGACATTTTTGGGCAGTGTAGAGTAGGGCTTGTTGTTTGTCATTTCTCCGATCACAAATGCAGACATGGTTTTATGTTTACGCGACGCAATGCAAAGCAACACGTAAAAAGACAGCATAAATCATTATAATCCGTAATTATGTCCCCACTGGATGCAACGAATGAATGCCTCGTTTATAATGGGTTTTAATGTTTATGTCTCATTGCTCCGGCCGGACAGGGCATCATCACATGCCCTGTCCGTAAGGGGCGTACGGTAAGGGGCGTAACATTTCTGTCACACGCTTGAGGTATTCGGCCAATCACAATGCTCTGGATAGCTGGCCAATCACAGCACACCTCGCTTTTCAGACCGATGAGCTTTGTAAAAATGGATGCGTTTCAGAAAGGCGGGGCATAGAGGAGAAACAATAATGTACAGTATGTGGAAAATAATGTTGTTTTTTTTACCTTAAACCGCATAAACACATTTCACTACACCAAATACACAAAATAATGTTCTTTTTAGCAGCATCATATGACCCCTTTAAAAAAATTAACAACGTACATAATTACTTATCTTTTATTTACACATGTGAATATGCAAAACAAAATGTACAGAAAGTACAAATAAATTACACTACAAAAATTTATAATGTATACAACTTTTTCATTTCATTTTTAACTTGCATCACAAAAATAAACTACAGAAATTAGGTCGTTTAATTGACAATGTGACATTAAAAAAAAAGATATTGAAAAACTGTAATGTAACGTTACCCATTTTTTCCACTGCTTTCTCTTGGCCAATAGAGAACGGCTAATAAATAATGTATTTGTTAAGCATTCTCTCCGTTCTCGCCGGTGCTCTTCTCTCCTCTGTTCCTCTCTGGAATTTGATGTCCTCCGTGAGTAGCTCCACCAGCTTCCACTCACTCCCTCACCTGTCCCAGGACACTTGCAATCCTAAGGCAGAGCAAATAAACCATGCCTGATAACAACAACAGCACAATGAATTCCAGCAAAAATGTGTGTATTAACTTGCCTACTTTGTATTTTTGAAGTCTTTCCCCAGCAGGCTCATTTTCTCCAGAATACTACTAAAACAAGAGGAAATGGAAACACTTATGAAAAATATAAAGACCGGTTTGTACTGCAATCTTAACATTATAAAATAAGACACAGCAGGACATGCATACAACATACTGAAGAGCTAAATTTGGTTAAAACATTTGTAGACATATCTTGCATGACAGCACTACAAAAACACAACAAAGGGAAAGACTATTGCCTTATATAGTGGTTGTCTTATTGTTTGTGGGCTTTGTGTTAAAAAAAACCTGGCTTTTAACACTTGTTTCGCTAGGTATTTGAGTAAATGAAAACACAATACTTACATTTCAATGTGAATTCCCCCACAGAACTCTCACCCACCATGTTCTTTGAATATAAACAAGGTTTTCATCTGCCTGCAAGTGATTCTGGCATATGGTAGGGTGCGAAGTGTCCATCAGATGTACATTTTCCTGGGAAACGAGGGTGCATTTGACGTCAGCCTTCGAATGCGGTCTTCGGAGGGTGCATCCTGAATTGGGACAGCTTATGTTGTGACGCTGTGACACAATAGCAGAGTCCAGGCACTTCAGTTTGGAACACAGCTCATGTGTGTTGGAACTATGCAGGGCTCTGGCCCTCCAGGAATTTAGTCAACTTACTGATACATTTACAATCCTACAAACTCAAATTATTTATAGTCTTTAACTTTAGGTATTGTTCCTTGCTCATCAACAGAGCTGTGTACATTTGAAATATCTAAAAATAGACAATCTACTGAGGAGATCAGTGTGAACTTTTCAGTTTATTTCTGATACCTGCCCAGTCATTTAAAGTTAAAGACATATTTTTTACATCTAGAGCATCCAACACTATTCTCAAGTTCTATGTTAAAGTTATTTTAAAAACATAAATATGCTTCATATCATGTATACAAACTAACCCTTCATGTTTAGTAGAGGTTTGTTGTGCTGCATATATCCAGACCTTTTGTGCTGTTTAGCATTGATCTCGGTCATTTGTTCTGGGTGGATTTGTTTCGTCATTGATTCTTTGTGTGAATGAAGGCTTTGATTAGGCCACTGTAGAACACTGACCTTCTTGTTCATGACCCCAGAAAATATCACAGTTGCATTCATGGTTCATAGGAACAGATCATTGATGAAGCAACAGTGATTTTGTAGGACAAAAGGTGTTGTTTTTATCTATGACAAATATAAAGATGAAAAAATAAAATTTGAGTTCCAGTATTCTCCCATAAAGCAACTGAATCAAATTTAAACAAATATTGTATTTTTTGTATTTTTGTAAAATGTGCAGCAGCTGATTTAAACAGCAGTGCTAAAGATCAGGATGGTTTATTTTATATCTATATGTAAACATAGTAAATGAAACAACTGACGTCTTGTATATAGAATAAAAACATCTTGGTTTTTATGTACAGTCCAATACATTAAAATACATACACACACACTTTTGGAAATAAGGAGACATTGCAGGACTGGAAATCAAAATCAAAGTGGGAAAAATGACCAGCAATGTGTGAAACAAAAAAAAAGTTGCTTCCTTTCCAATCCTGAACCAAAGCTCCATGCAGAAATGCATTTACCCGGCATAAAATCACCATGGTTACATTTACCAAGATTTCTCACCACAAAGACAATCATCATAATTCACTCTGATTAACAAGTCATTCATGATTTCAACTACCTAACCTCAAAAACACCCCACAACCTGAATCCAAAACTCAAAGGGGAAAGATTAGAGAATTTTTCACAGTGGAGCTTTACCAAAATGAAATTTAATAAAACATAAGTGATTCTCTCTGGACAGATGCAGTGTGAATGAAACAGTAGGTTGGATACCAAACATAAAAACATTAAGTTAAATATAAATCAGCAACGATTCACATTACATTACACATTTTGTGTAAAACTAAATTATATATATATATATATATATATTTTTTTTGAAAGATATATAACAATATATTATAATACCCATTTCTAATATTTTAAAAAGAAATAAGATATATTCTACATAAAGAGCTTTTCTTTGAAAATGGGGGCAATGGCCTTAATGCAGAAATACCTTTGAAATTTTGATAGTTGATAAAAAAAATCCAGAAATTAATTGAACTCTGAGACAGGGTCAGGCTTTCTAAGTTTAAGCCAATCAATACAAGTGCTTTGAGCTCTTAGAGGACCAATAAAAACAAAAACCTCTCAATCAGCCAATCAGTAGTGAGGAATATCGTCATAATATAAGGTTTAACATACTTCTGGGAAGCGAAAACATTGCGAGTGATGGATTTTTTTTTACAAATAATTAAAAAAAAGAGAAGGAGAGAGAAAGAGAAAAAAATCAGACACTCCAAGTCTAAACCCTTTAAGGAAAGCGGAGTTATAAATTTAAGATTTAAATCACCCCTTATAAAGTCATTTACAACTGATTGTCTTTACAAAATTACCTAAAAATCAAAACTCCTCCAGGTTTTTACAAAAAAACAGCTATTTTTAAACCTCCATTACAAAAGACCATGATTGATAAGGCTGATCTCATGCTGTAAATGTTTGTCTGTCGCCCTGTGGGCTGTTATATGTACAGATGGAAAGTTGTGGTGTGTTTTCAGAAGGGAAAGATATGCGGCACCATCCTGTGCATTTAGTCCATGGAGTGAAATCAGAAGAGGAGAAACATGTCACCGTCTCGTGTACCCCTCTCAAAACATGGACACATTAAGGACCTGTTTGACAAAACATACACACACAGTCACTTTAATAATGGTATTTTATTCAACAGGTTTAAGCTGGTTATGTGGATTCCAACAGAAAGTGCTTTGTTTCAAAGTTACGAGTTGTGTACTTCATACATCGCTATACTACTGACAATAGGCAAAGGACCATTTTTGTCCATGAAATGTTGCTAACTTTAGAATGATGTTTTAAACTTCATAGCTTTCGTTATAGTTATCGCTTTTGGTGTGAACGGGCCTTTAGTGCTGCATTCTTCCTTAGCATCTTGCCTGTCAGTTCACAGTGTAAATGGACAGAAAGAACAAACAAAGAAAGTAGATTTTTGAAGTTTTTTTTTTTTAAAGTGAATATAAATTTGCTACCACAATGCTGTGTGATTGGGTGGTTGCTTACTGGCGCAAGATTAAAAAAAAGCATATAATCCTCTGGTCCCTCCTTTAATGTAAATCTAAGGGATTTCTAACAAGCACAACTAATTAATAAATTATAAAGTGAATTAATGAATGAAGGAATAAACAGATAGATGAAAGAATGCTTACCGAGTCGTCCATGATGGAGGCAGGGTCAAAGTAGTCTGGTTTCAGCTCTGATCTTTCCCTGCGGTTTTTGGATGGAGGCTTCAGAGAAACAAAAAAGGTCAAGTTAAAAATACCAACACATAAAATGTGTTTTCTCTCTATGTATGAGTGTGTCAACCCAGCAGTCAAAGGAAACTGGATTAGATGGATGCGAAGATCTGAGCAACACTGTCATTGTGACTGATAGAGTGACAGTGTGACAGTGAATATTTGGGTGAGAAAGGGCTCTCACTGGTTATGCTTTCCTGAATTCTGATTCCTACCAGATCAATGTCCATGGTGTCGAAGTCCATGCCCTCGTTAAGGTCGTCCAGTCGTTCCTCTGATGACATCATCACATCCTCTACAATCGGTTCCTCATCATCCTCCATCAGCCCGCTGCCACGACGACTGGCATACAAGCACATTTAAAAAAATTAGAATATGAAAGCAAGATGGCAATATGGCAGCCCTGTTCAAAAATTATAAAACTGAACAATGCTAGTTTGTCCACAAAATAGCATTACGATGCAAAAAGTGAAATTATATCAAATCACAACAAGTAACTGATAATCAGACCAGAGATTCCATAAATGTTAGGGGTGTAATGATATTCAAACCAATCCAAAAAACTGCGATACACCCCCCACGGTATATACCACAATACACTCTTGGCCTACCCCGCCCCCTGCTGAGACACTTCAAACACTTATGGCCATGATGGTTTTGAATTGTTTGAATCACTTTGAAAAGGAAGGTACCATTAAGGGCAACATGTGCAGAACAAATCGGTCCCACTTTATATTAAGTGGCCTTAACTACTATGTACTTGCATCAAAAAATAAGTACAATGTACTAAATAACGAAGTGTATCCTATATGAGATAAATCTGACGAGTTAAGTCCCGTCGATTAAAAACCCTCTATCAAAGTGCTTCATTGTACTGGTGATCTTCAGCGCTCGCAGCTCAAAACAGAAATGCAGAACATTAATAACTATGACTAGGACTGTCATATACATAATGTTATAATGAGAGCACTATTGTAAACATTTTTGTGAATTCATAGGGTTTAGCTGACGTTCCATCCACAGAAGGAGTTACACATTCTGACTACGCAACTTAGTTCAAGTTCACTTGTGCTTGATTTTGTGCAATGTAATCAGGGCCTGAATTTCGCTTCGGGATTGCAGGCATTGTGCGTAATTCTACACATTCCCGCAGGCTTCGCGGTTATAAAGTGGGAAATTACTGCAAACATTAATGCACTACAGCATGTAGGTTGAATCCAAACAGATTATCAGAGCAGATCAGTCATTTTAAAACTTTCTGTGAGACAGAGTTTCACGAACAGTGTGAGTGATTGGGATTGATTGGGACCGTGTCTTCTCCCACTCCCTCAAAATGCAAAAATGACCTCTCATCCAAAATATCCATGTTGAGTTTGCTCTGCAAGCGAGCTGCACACTGCAATTCAAGACTAGCACACATTTCGGACAGTCGACGGAATCATCACTTGCGTGGCAATAGATTTTTTGTTATATTACTACAAAGTAGTTAGAAACTACTTTGTTTGGCCTTCCAAAAGTGGACACGACTAGAAATCAGTGGTTAAGTTGTATTTACAACACTGTTCCAGAACAGTTCAACCCAACTATTCAGATGTGTCCAGCGCATTTTATGGAGGACTGTTTCCTGATCCTGGTAGAGTAGGCTACAATGCCGGCTGTACTGACTCACAGACTGTAAGTACATTTTTTATATTTAAAGAATTTGCCACTGACGATTCAAACGCGAGTTTTGAGCAGTGTACAGTAGCACTTGTTGTTTGTCATTTCTCCGATCACAAATGCAGACATGGTTTTATGTTAACGCGGCGCGATGCAACACAATGCGTAAAAAGACAGTATAAGTCATTATAATCTGTAATTATGTCCCCACTGGATGCAACAAATGCCTCGTTTATAATGGGTTTTAATGGTTATGTCTCATTGCTCCGGCCGGACAGGGCATCACAATATGGTAAGGGGCGTAAAATTTCTGTCACACGCTTGAGGTATTCGGCCAATCACAACGTTCTGGATAGCTGGCCAATCAGAGTACACCTCGCTTTTCAGAACGATGAGCTTTGTAAAAATCGACGCGTTTCAGAAAGGCGTGGCATAGAGGAGAAATAATAATGTACAGTATGTGGAAAATAATGTGTTTTTTGAACCTTAAACCGCATAAACACATTTCATTACACCAAATACACAAAATAAAGTTATTTTTAGCAGCATCATATGATCCCTTTAATGCATTAATGAACGAACTAACAGAGAGCAATTATTGTTGTTGTTATTATTATTATTATTATTAAGTTAAATTACTTTTGAGCATTAGTGCACGTGTATGTAAATGTGTGCTCACATGGTGTGCTGAATGTGGCCTCTCATCTTGCCGTACTGCAGGCTTGCTCTTTCCTGCTGCTGTTTTTGGGCCATCATCCACGCGACCTGAGAACTGAAAACAAAACAGCTCGCAATCAACTCTTCACTAACAAGTGTGTGTGTGTGTGTTAGAGAGAGTATGTGGATAAATGTGAGCATGTGTGTTTACTTGTAGTCCATGTGTTGGTGCGGCTGCTGCAGGGGTGTGTGTTGCGTTTCGTTGCTCATGCTGTAAACTCCCATGTATCCCTGCTCAGGGCGGAGTTTCTTTGCGTCTTGCAAGACAGTAGAGACAATGTGGGGGGATGACATCATTACAGGAGTGTGTGGGCCATTCTGCTCACGATTCACCCACAAGCTCACATCACTGCTGCTACAGCTACTCTCCTCTGAGAGACAGACCGACAGAGAGAAGACAATAAAAGAGGAAGATTAAAAATGAATCTTTAAAGATTATAATTAATCATATAATTATGATTCAATGCACATGTACCCTCGGGCAGTTTTCTCTTGCTGGTGGCAGGTGGTTTGCTTCTGCGACTGCGGGCAGAGCTCCTGCTGCTCATACCACTGATGACGGACAGAGTGTCATCATCAGCACCCGTCTGCAGAGAGTTCCGGTAGGAGATGAGCGGTAACCAGCAGTCGTCCCTCTGCAGGGCCATCTGAAAGGTCATAAACCGCTCTAGATACAGGTGCCTGATGGGAGAGATCAGACGTCAAACAAACAACATACATATACTTCAATAGAGATACTAATTTAAAAGACAGTATACCATTAACCTTCAGAGACCCAGCGTAGCAAAATTTCAACATTTGTATATTTAACAAATATGGGTAAAAACTACACATAACAGTAGCTGACACTGAAATTTATCACAGCAACAGCTTTAGTGGGAAAACAAAAATGCTAATTATCTGCCATGGTCACAAAAAATGCTGTCAGCATGCTTTTCAAACCAATTTATCTATTTAGAAAGTTAATATATTTATTTATATATGTCTAGTGATGGGAAAAGGCTTACATGCCCTGAAATTTTGAACATACAAAAATTGAGAAACATTTTTCTAAGAGTAGCAAAAATGCAATGTTGGCATTAGATGTCAAACTTTATTCTACTGTTTTTACACAATGAAGTCTATTCAATGAATGGTACAAAAAAAAAAAAATCAGCTGTTTTCTGTTTTGTCATTAATGTCTCACTGACAAACTATATGTTTTAAAATATATTTCAATTTAAATACAGTATTTAAGTCAAACTTTTTTTTTTTTTATATATATATATATATGTGTGTGCTGGATTGTGTTGTGAAGTACAAGCTTTTACTTTAGTATCAAATAGTGGAAAAAATTTGCTGAAGGTCCAGTGTTTTTGCAATCTTTTCCCATATTATACCTCAATGCAAACTGCACCTAAGTGAAATGGTTTTTATAACTAATGTCTTCTTAAAAATATTGCATCATATATATAAATACTTGGGTCTCTGAGGAATCTGAGACAGCAGGGATTCTCAATGTGCGTGACTTACACAGTCTTCTTGTCCTGCCTCAGTAGTTTGGAGGAAAACTCACTGAGGATGTCAAGGAATGCGAGGTTGAGAGGTGGGCCACCCTCCCCCTGTGGACTGGGTTCTTTAAAGGCAAATTCTATTCCATCCCTAAAATACAGATAACACTCTCACAAAGATATATAGGGACTCTATTGCTGCTTTTCCATTGAAATGGTTCTAATGCTGATGCTGGCGCCAGAATTTAATTCTGATATGATAGTTTTAAATACATAAAATATAGTTTTACACAGACAGGGTAAAGGAAGTGGCTGGAGCATCCATCAATGAATCCAGATCAAGAAACAGAACACCGTTGGGACTTTACAGCAAGCGTGTTTGAATTTACTTACTTGTGGAGCATTGCAATGGCCTCTCTGGTTTTGAGATGATCGAGTCCAAACGTGAGCGAGAAGCGTCGGGCCAGTTCTTTAATCCCACAGAATGCAGATGTGGACCGATCAAAGTTACAGCCCAGATCACTCAGCATCTCATTAAACAGCTGAAAGACAAACATCACACTTGTGTTTTGTAGTGTTGCTGGCAGAGCTGGTCTGTATAAGGAGGGAAGCAGCGTCTCACCTGCTGCAAGCTGAGGATCAGAGTCTTGGCACACTGAATCTTGTCGATCTGACGCGCTTTACTCATGGTCTCCTTAATGATATCACCGTAATCATTATAGTACTACACACAGAGACAGAGAGTCAATGGAAGCAACAAGAAACAAACACAGAGGACTGTTAGAACATGAGTAGGACTCACTCTCATGTATTGTTTGAAGATATCTGCTCCTGTCTTCATCTCCACCACGTTGTAGATGATCAATTTGCAGAAGGCAGCCAGTAAATTCCTGCGTCTGTGGAGCGCCTCAATCTTATTAGCCTCATCATCTGCAAGACACATCCAAAAATGAATGAATTTGACCGGATAGTGAAAAAGCAGCCAATGATTGTGCAGAATATAATAAGAATAAGAATAAACTGTAAAAAAAATAAAAAAATAAAAAAAAAGACAACATTGAATATAACGGTCAAACTTTTGACTGGTAGTGTTAAGTTTTTTCACAAATTTTTAGTTTCTAAATGAATTAATGAGATTTAGATTTCTCATCATTGAAGGTGGAGCATCTAATTTCTGCTCTAAAAGCAGCATCAAACTGTTTCCTCAGAGGTTTCTTAAAGGCATACTTCACCCAAAAATGAAAATTCTGTCATCATTTACTCACCCTTATGTAATTTCGAACACATAAGACTTAATTTTCGAAACAAAATTAAGATATTTTTAATGAAACCTGTGCGGTTTCTGTCCTTCCATTGAAAGGCCAGGTAACCAAAACTTTTGACGCTGTTAGTTGTGCACAAATTATACACAACTACACAGTACAAGTCAACAGCTGATCTGGAGCATAGACTGCATATATGTGGTTATACAATCAAATTCACACAGTAGTGCTTCTCACTGCCACCTTAGAGTGAATCAGAGCAGTTTTCTGTCCTGTTTGTCATTTACCTGTGCTGCTGTCCTCATCCTGGTCAACAAACACGTGATCTAGGATGAAGTTGAGTAGTTCGCTCTGTAAGGATGCATCTGGACTGAACACCAAGGGCTCTAAAGCTTCCCGCCCAGACGCCACAATCTGATAACTGAAGATCAGGAGTGCATCGCAGAGAATGGTGAAGGCCTGCAACACACAAAAGCACACCGTTCATTTTCCCAGAATCCCCTATACATGAATGGACGTAGGGGTTTGGTGTGGGAGGTCAGACTCACCTGTTCTTTGACAACAGTGCTGATACTATTCAGGTACCTTTGACACATCAGACAGAAGGCTCTCACCTGCCTCCGCAACAGCACCATGTCATCCTGAAACGGGACAAGAGTGTTACTAAACACTCACAAATGACAGTCTCAAAAGAGGTTTGGGCATGTATGTGTGTGTTGTACCTTACTGACACTGCCCTCCGAAACCTTAGCCAAGTGCCAGAGTATGACATAGTGAGTGCATTGGAGTGCATGAGCCACGATCTGTAAAGACAATTTATGTAAGTAAATGTTATATAAATGCATCTGGGGAATGAAAAAAGTAAAATCAGTGTGCTCCATTTACACTATTACTGGTCATTAAAGCAATAGAAGTTGATAATTTAGCTGCAGAAGAGCATGTATTAGGCATGCAATCCAGCCAGTGAACTAAAATTAGTTATCTCCCTGGGTCAATAGTCAGTACCTGCTCAGGCATATCCCCGTTTTGTAGGCCAGAGTTCAAAAGTTTGTAGTTGCTGGTGAAAAGGTCCCATTTAGTGAGGTCATGGGCACTGCAGGGAGCACAAACACAGACACACACAGTTATGATGAAGAAAGTTCTTTGGTCTATGAATGAACCACACAAAACATGTACAGGTTTTTTATTTAACTCTAAAATCAAAAGAATACAATTTAAATAATTTTTTAGTTTTCTAAAAAAATGACAATTTCTCAGTTTTAGCGACAAAGAGTGTTCTTACTTGTGGAAGGCTGTGATTCTTTTGAGTGTTGACAAAACTTGATAGGCATCATCTTCATCAGGCTCCTCTCCCTTAAAGAAACAAAATAGTTCTTTGTAATTTCACAAGTTAACACACAGTTCTTCACACATCAAACTACAACACACACAGAAAATGACCATACACATACCTCCTGCAGGACATCCTCCAGCAGACGGTGGAACTTATCGATCTGCTCGTCAAGTATCTGGCTGCGGACAATATCCACGCGGTTATAGATGGTGAAATCCTCATTGCACAGTGCATGGAATGTCATGGAACATGCCTCTAATACATCTTTGTCTGTGTGCTTCTCCACCACATCACGGACCTGACGCAGCAAAGCATCCAGATGCTGCAGCACATCAGCAAAATAATTTCTTACAACTAACAACACAATAACAATCAATCATTTTTTGACTTCATGCCTATGCATAGATTAAACATTTTTTAGTACTATTGGAAACTTTCTTCATGTTAAAGTAACTCCACAAAGTAGCAAACCCATATTTTATAAGCACAATATTTTCAGTACTATGTGGTACAATTTTTTATTTTTTTGTATGTGAATAATTACTTTCTCCAGCCGACCGGTTGTATAGATCTCCAGATCAAAATACTGAGGAAATTGCAACAGATTAGTGACCTTCTCTGGGTCCACAGACTGTTTCCTCCATATTATGATATGCATCAGAGTGAAACAAATTATCGAAAAAGAAAAAGTATAGAACATGGACTTGGTTCTATCTATCAGGTTGTTGACTGGATGGAGGCAGATCTGAATGTGAGCTTTTAGCCAATTGTATGAAACATGCAGGGTTTAAGTGGACTAAATAATTAGAGTCTAGCATACGTTACCAGAAAAAAGTAAAAAAAAAAAATATATATATTTGAAATTAACCACATGCATGAATGATGATCATGAAAAAATAAATTTACAAAATAGGTTGACTTTAGTTTATTTCATGCCGAGATTTAATCCAGTAATAACTTTTTGGATTAGGTTCAGGGTCAGGAGCTTAGAAAATATCACCTGTGTAAAAACCATTGCATCTATGGAACGTCCTCACCAATATGGCGATACCAAAATGTTGTTTGTGTGTGTGCCTGTGTGTGTGTCTTACCCTTTTGCCAGGGCCTCGTCCGGTAGGTGGGTGACACTCACAAGTCTGTCTGATAGCACAGAGCATGATATCAATCAGAGCAGCTTCCTGAGCATCAGTGAGGGCTGAAACACACACATCTTTGTATGTGAATAATTACTTTCTCCAGCCGACCGGTTGTATAGATCTCCAGATCAAAATACTGAGGAAATTGCAACAGATTAGTGACCTTCTCTGGGTCCACTGAATACTGAGAGAGAGAGAGAGAGAGAGAGAGAGAGAGAGAGAGAGAGAAAGAAGCTTGAGAGACAGTTTGTTCAGAAATCAATTGGTTTGCATGTGGACCGTTGCCCAAAAAGTCAATCAATATTGCAATGATATTTTTCATGCAAACCCAAAAAGACACACAAAGTGTTGAGGATTAATGACCGTAATTAATTTGTCACAATCATTTCATTTGTTTGTTATTCAACTGATGCATTACACACTATCTGGCAAGGCAGAGAATCACTTACTTTAGCGAGTAACAGAGGCAGAGCCACAGCAAATGTTTACGAACTTGAAATACTAAGATCTGCTCAGTCAAAATATTAATATAGCGAGACATCAAGAAGTGACATTAACCCTTAAAGCCCTGAGGGCATTTTTGCCTCACTGAAGCTGATGTTTTTTCTGAGTGACATACACAAAAATAATGGCTCATAACTCGAAGACTATAGCAAGGAGAGCCAAAATGTTGGTATCGTTTGATAGAAAACTTTCTGTACTTTCAGTGGAAAAAGTATTTCATTTGGACATTCTCCTGCTGAGAAATAGCTGATAAAAATGTGGTTGCTCAGGAAAGATACATTTTTCATATCTGTCTTATTTGACATTCAATATCTCAGGACAGAAATAAGGTAGGAGGAAGATTTTTTTGATGATGTTCTCCAGCATGTTAGATCATGTCACATCACAGTGGAGCCAGCTGTCTTAACCGTGGCTTGTGTACTGCAAACACATACCAGCTTCATCTCAGTGTGACTGTCGCGCGAGCGACTCTGTTCCCCTTTCGGGCTGTCTGTACATTTATTTTGAAAGATGAAGCTTGCGATTAAGGTAAGGGGCGTTACATTTCCGACGAGTGCTTGCGGTGTTCGGCCAATCACAATGCACTGGGTCAGCTGGCCAATCAGAGGAGACTGCGCTTGTCGGAAGGAGGGACTTTGTAGAAAACGAAGTGTTTGAGAGAGGCGGGGCATAGAGGACCTACAATAATGTACAGTATTTGAAAAATAATGTGTTTTTTGAACATTAAAGCATGTCAACATATTCTGTTACACCAAATACACAAAATAATGATCTTTAAAAAAGCATCATATGACCCCTTTAAGGCAGATATTTTGAAAAATACGCTTATTATTATTTTTCTCTGCTAGGGGGCGCACGCTGGCGGTACACTCAGGTTTAGAGGAACTAGGCAGCACTGGTTAGGAGCTGATCAAAATGGTTGGATGCATTCGAAAGCTGAAATTCTAACCTTTAAAATAATACCTAATTATATAAAAAATAGAAAGGTTATATAAAAGATAAAATAGACAGAAACATTATAGGTTTTACATTCTGCTTGCCAAGTGTTCAATAGAGCTCTCCAACTGATTTCTTCAATTCATGGGTTTAGGTATTATTTACACACGAAAGACACAATGGATTGTTTTGATTTTGGACTAATTTCAATCGTGAGAATCTGCTGTAAATAATGATATGCCATTTTGCACGATAGGAGCATGTTTCCTGAAATGATAAGCGTAAAAAACCATGAGAATATTGTAACGTGCGCATTTGGAGTTTTATGTATTATAATTCGATGACAGATATCTTTAGATGTAAATGACAGATTATGGTATGATTGATGTCATTTTAATCAAGATAATTTTCTGAAAACAATGACGTGCGATTTTCCATGATATGCATGTTTCATGAAGTTATGAATGAAAACGTAACCTATGTTTTTCTCAATTTAATGGTTTAATGTGTGTGATAACATCGTAAGTAATATATTTAGATCCAATGAACAAATTACGAGTTTGGGCTCCTTATAATCGGGAGAATTTTCTGAAAATAATGACGTGCAATTTTCCATGATCTATGCATGTTTCATGAAGTTACGAATAAAAGCGCAAAGTGAAACTACAGTTATTTGTCCTGCTGCACCTGAAGTACGCCCATTGGGTTTTATGTGTTATAGCAATATGAGTAATATCTTTGGATCTCATCGACGGATTATGGTAAGTTTTTTTTTCCAAGATCTGTGCATGTGAAGTTATGAATGAAAAAGCAACGTGAAGCGGATGATGAAAAGCAACTGATAGACGGATTATGGCACATTTGGGCTCTTTTTAATAGGGAGAATAGAGGTTTTTCAAGATTTATGCATGTTTGGTGAAGTTACGAGCTAAAACGTCACAGGACTGCAACCTCTGATTTTTTTTGCTAAGCTACATGACCTAATTCTTTTCTATGTGTTATAGCTTTATGAGAGATATCTTTAGATCTGAGTGATGGATTATGGTGAGTTTGGGCTCTTTTTAAGAATTTTCTGCAAATAATGTTGTTTCGTTTTCTATGATATATGCATGTTTCATGAAGTTATGAGCGAAATCGCCACATGACAGCTACCTTACATTTTTTGGCTAAATTACATGCTGCCTGAGCAGTTTTATGTGTGTTATAAATTTATGAGGAAAATCTTTAGATATAAATGACGTATTATAGTCGTTCAGGAGAATCTGCTCTAAATAATGGTGCCTAATTTTGTGCCTAATAATGTTTTATGAAGTTACAAGTAAAACAGTGACATCAATATATTCTTTTCATATGGGTCTGGGGGTGACTTCCTGTACAAAAACTCGCTCCAGTTTATTCAAAGCCCCAAACAATTATGCTTGTTTTATTCTACTCAATGAGACCTCTCCAATGACACATGACACATGACTATATGAGCTGTATGATATTTTTGACATACCGTATAGGCCCGAATATAAGACGACCCTGATTATAAGACGACCCCCCTTTTTCCAGATGTACCTTTTGAAAAAAGGCTTTTAAAAAAACTAATCTTGTTTTTTCTCAGTAAAACACATTTTGTCTTCAATTATTTTCATATTGCATATTTTTCCTATTTAAATTTTGGTTTTGAAAATATGGTAAAACTGGTAAACTGTACCAACAATCACATCTTTTTTCAGATGTATTTCCAAGAAAAAAACATTGTCTTATATTTGGGTCAATACGGTATTAGAGTACATGGCACAAAAAACATATTTTGTAAATTATGATTTTTTTTTTCATTTATCAGCAAATAACTCGGCACTACTTTTGAGTTAGTCAAAGTGGCTACATGCATTGTAAAGCTCAGACTCTGAGGTTTCAAATGATATATAATATATAAATGATAATGATATTTTTTGTTGATCAAGGCAGTGGTTTGAAAAATATGATTAGTAATATTGGGGGGGCATCCCGCCCACGGTACACTTCGGTTTAGAGGGACTGCTTAGTGCTGGTTAAGAGTTGATGAAAATAATTACATTCATTAAAAAGTTGAGATTCTAAGCTTTAAAATGATAACTATTTTGTGTTTTTCCATTCAGGGGTTGCCTAGTAATTTGATTTTGAATTTGTTTGTGCAGGTTTAAAGGGTTAAAGGCTGAGCACATCAAGCACACCTCACTCTCCAGAAAGAACAAGACAGTTGTTCTGATGAGGTTAGCATTCAAACACTGTCTGCCTCTCCTGGGCCGCCCCTCATCCTCTGGACCATGATGACTGAATAGCCTGGGAACACAACACCAGTGGAATCAGTGAGTCACAGTGAGCAGCAGATGCATTATGGATAAGAACTAATGTGGCAAATGTGTTTAAAGGGGTGGCTGATCAGCTTTTTTCAAAGGCTTGATTGTGTTTATGGGGTGGAGTGTAACGTATTCATGCTTCGGTATTTTTTTTTAAAAAGCATTATTTTCAAATATTTTACCTTTATTCTACACCGCTGCTTCTGTTCTCGTCTAATCAGACCATTGAGTTCCTGGTTCTATGAGGCCCCTCCCACAGAAATACGAAATGAGCTCAGATTGGTTAGCTGGCCCAGTGTGTTGTGATTCGCTAACTGCCTAGTGCACGTTGTCCAGAAACGTCACGCCCCCTTGCCATTAAGGGTAGTTGCATGTTCTACGGTGTATGGTAAACAATGGCGTCAATATTGCTTTTATCAATTTGAGCCTGAATCAGACCCAGAGAATATTAGTGAAGATGATCGAGCAGAACCTGTACAAGCACGGCTCTTACAGAATGGTATGTTTTTTTGTTTGTAGTTGTGTCATACCTTTTAGATATGCTGTTATTTGTAATTGCTACTGCTATTTCTTTGCTTTTGATAGGTTTGATGGTTTTTTCCTGATTAAAGCTTTAGTACAGCACAATACATGATTGCATTGTAGCATTTTTGTAAAGTAATTGTTTAATTTGTAAAAGTAAGAAGTGTTTGCTTATTAACAAAATCTAGTGTACTGGCATTGAACTTGCGTAGATTGAGAAAGCTGTTCTCCGAAAAATGTGCAGCACAGAGAGCTATATTGGTATTATAATTTTAAGGAACCGAGTTAAAATAAATTTGAACCATTTTTAATTTTAACCAACAAAGAGGACTTGCAATCAGGGTGAAAATAACAGCGTTTCGACAGACTGGAATCAACACTCTACTACAACAACTCTTCATCTTCTCTAAAGCAGCCCAACATGGCCTCGCCCCCTTTTTAGCATGTTCCCGGGGCAGGGTTTATGTAAAGTTTAGGGTTTGTGGTGTCACAAACCCAGGAAGACGCTTGTTGTTGTCCCTACTAGCCTTTTTTTGTAGTCTTTAAACAGCAATTTCTTCAAAACAAAATATCTCCCTTTGCACTGAACTTTGAGCATCATAACTTTGCAGATGTCGTTTATGCTCTAACAGCAACATTACACACTAACTTAAGTTAAAAAAGTGAAATTGTAATCAACCACCCCTTTAATTACCCTGGTATTTAATGAAGCAAAGACTATAGTGCTATGATATAAAAAACTGTGGCATTACTTTTTGTAGAGAAACTCCCCTGCTGCCACGGCAACCGGTCGGTGGGCAGAGTAAACCAAGTGATAGACACTTTCACAGTCTTCAGCTGTCAAAACCTCATCATTACTCCTGTGTGCACAAACAATCACATATTGAACGGACACATCTTTAAAAAAAAACTGAATGATGGACGATCAATGCTGAACTCACTGCAGAGCCAGCGTCAGCAGCTTAATTGCCTGAACAGCAACATCATATTCCTTATCCAGTGTCATCGACACAATTCTATCCTACAGAGAAAAAGAATGAGAAATGTCAGTAAGAAAATAGAAATGGGGTTGCCATAGCAAGTGTCCTGGTGAAAGACTAACCTTGAAGCGGCTGGTGAAGAGTTCCAGTCGGGCGTTGAGTTCTCTGCTATAATACAAACCCTGAAGAGCTGTAAGACACTTCAGACGAACCTCACCTTGCTGGAGATTATTTTTTTAGAAAAATAATATAAATGAATGAGACATGAGACGGCATGCTGTTTATTTGTTTAGTTTTGACCTGCATATAACAACCAATCTGTGTGAATGTGTTTGTGTTACCTTATCATACATGGTCCAGCCCACATACTTCAGGTAACTGTCATTAAGAAAAGCCTCACTGTACATCTTCATCCACATACCAATCTCTTCAATGCAGACAACCCTGATCTCAGCAATCACATCCCTGCACACAAATATGTGGAAAATATAAACAGCTCTTATCAGACTGTGTGATCATTTTAAAATATGAATTGATTGAATCAGTCAGTTAATTATTGGGACGTTTGCTCACCTGTATCTGTGGATGAATACTCCTTTAAAAATGGCATTCATCATGTTCTCAATCTCATCTTGGTTTTCCTGGAGCTAATAATAACAAAAGAACATGTTTGAATTTACAGTATATGTGTGTGTGTGTGTGTGTGTGTGTGTGTGTATCACCTCCTTGCGTTTTTGCAGCAGGAGCTCCAGGCGTTCATTGGCTCGTTTCCCGATGCTCTTGTTGCGTTCTGTCTCGTATTGTCTTTGTGTGTTGTCCAAATTGATGCTCAAATTCAGAGCAACATTCACCAAAGCGGTCATCAGTTTCATGGCTAAAATACAGTGAATTAACTGTAGGGTTAGAGTGTATAATTCATACCTTTATCAATAAGAACACACTGACTGAAAACTGCATGACAAAATTCATGACACAATAGTATGTTTATGCTGCAGAAGTAGTGGTAGTATGTATTCTGAACATTACACAGTACCTAGCCTAAAGTCACCCACCTGCCAGGGTGCTGGTGTGTCTGAACGCTCTGACCTGTGAGTCTGAGAGGCCGGTGAGGAGAGAGATGACCATGTCCATCATGTACTCATCATATATGATGCTGTACTGGCACTGTCGGACCAGGACCGCGATGAACTCGCACAAGCTTAATTTAAACTTCTTCCACACCGGACCTGCCATCGCCAGCGGATAATCACCACTGTCCTGAACACACACACACACACACACACACACACACACACACACACACACTTTTTACATATACATTTACAGTATCTAATCTCCTCCATCCCAGCATACAAACTGTTCTACATATAATAAATTCTACCCATGGAAATGTCTGGGGTATAAACACATTAACAAACCTCATCAAACTCTTCTGTCATTTTCCTGATGATCTCAGAATTCTGCATGTGTCGAAACATCTCGGAGCTCACCGCACCTATAACAAACATACACATTCAATAAGACAGTATACACTTGAATTACGTAAACTTATTTACACCTAGAGAACACAAAAACACACACACACACACACCTTTACAGCCAGAGCAGTGGATAAAGAAGTTGATGAGTTCCAGCAGGGCAGGGTCTCTGTCCGTCTTATAGGACTCAATCCAGTCATCAACCACTGACTGCAGAGTGAGAGAGAGAGAGAGAGAGAGAGGGAACACACACACTCGCTCAGTTAAACCTTCTTTCCTACATACACAGCCTACACAGAAAGCATGCATTGCAGTTAGACCTGGATATAATAACCAACCACAAAAAACACTGATTTACTCTGATGATACATCCCGAGCACTTTGAGACAAAGAGCATGTATGTCTGTGAATGAACAGTGTGACAGACCAGTGTGTATCTTAAAGGGGTCATATGATGCTGCTAAAAAGAACATTATTTTGTGTATTTGGTGTAATGAAATGTGTTTATGCGGTTTAAGGTTAAAAAAACACATTATTTTCCACATACTGTACATTATTGTTTCTCCTCTATGCCCCGCCTTTTTGAAACGCGTTGATTTTTACAAAGCTCATCGGTCTGAAAAAGCGAGGTGTGCTCTGATTGGCCAGCTATCCAGTGCGTTGTGATTGGCAGAATACCTCAAGCGTGAGACGGAAATATTACGCCCCTTACTATATTGTGATGATGCCCTGTCAGGCTGGAGCGATGATTCAAAAACATTAAAACCCATTATAAACGAGGCATTCGTTGCATCCAGTGGGGACATAACTATGGATTATAATGACTTATACTATGACGCATTGCATCGCGCCGCGTAAACATAAAACTTTCATGTTCTGCATTTGTGATCGGAGAAATGACAAACAACAAGCCCCTACTCTACACTGCCCAAAAAAAACTTGTTTAAATATATAAAATATAAAAACTCTTTAAATATAAAAAATGTACTTAGTCTTTGAGTCAGAACAGCTGGCATTGTAGTCTACTCTCCCAGGATCAGGAAACAGTCCTCCATAAAATGTGCTGCACACATCTGAATATTTGGGTTGAA